TTTTTGAAAATATTATACAGTTCCCAAGAGTAGGGGCTAAAGCTTCACATGGATGGGGATAAGGGAAGTAACTATTAAAAAGGGAATACAGGAAAGCAGTTCCCTTGAGCATCCTTAACTTCTGGGGGCGAGAAACATTCTGAAGGGTGGAAGATGTTAGGGGCCTGGGAGTTTATAGGTTCTTGCAAGTGGTAGGGCAAACCTAGCTCTATGTCACCTGCCAAGGGGCAAGTACTCAACAGAGACATTACTCTGACCACAGAAACATGTAGCCTGAGTCATCTCACCACCTCTCATACCATCCTCTCCTGACACCCACCCAGATTTAAAGCTGAATAATTGAAAAGCAATGCTCAGTAAGCTTTCCAAAGCCTCTACCTATTTCTCTGCAAGTACCTTGCTTTCTCTTCTTTCCTTTCCTGCACTTCCTTCTTCGTCTTGCCTCTCCCTTTTCCCCTGTCCCCTCTCTTACGCAGGGCCTCGCTGGTCTCTTGCTCTCCTCATTCCAACCTTGGAGCACCAGGCTGGCTGTCTCCTATTCTGTGTCCTATACCCCTGCTGTGATTCTTAATGAAATAAATGTCAGGAAGTCTACTGATTGGTTCCATGACAAGTGCATAATTTATAGGAGCAGCTGGGCCCTTCCCAGCACAGGACACTCAGTTCATTCTTTCTCAGTATCGCCTTTTCCACTCCCATTCCACCTCAGCCCTCTCGCCTTCTACTTCATTAGAGGACATCGGCTGCAAATTCCCTAGAGTCTTTCTTCTCCTATTTCTTTCTCCTGTTTTCTTCTTGGGGAATACAAGAGTCCCCTCACTTTTCTGAGGGATAGCTCAGAAGTTATCACATCTTATTTATTATACTTAAAACGCTCTCTTACACGCCCCTCTTATCTCCTAAATCAGGGTCTTATTGTCTCTCTCCTACAAAATCATAACAGTTGTCCTGCCCATTGACACTCCCTTCGGTCACACTGGCACCAATTAGGCTTAGCATTTGTAGTGTTGTGTTTATTTCATCAAATTTCATATTTCTTAGTCTCAACTTTAAAGTTGAGAGATTTTATGTTTATCAGGGTTTTTCCTTTTTCCTTTTTATGTTTGTTGCCTTCAGTTAGAATTTTTTTCAATGATCCTTCCATCCTCCATGATTGTTGAATTTTCTGTGACTTTAAGGAAAAAGAAGTGATTTCCTAAAGATAGCTATGAACATCTTTGTAAACACAAGATGGGCAGCCTTTTTTTTTTTTTTAAAAGATTTTTTTTTTATTGGGGAATTGGAGGGATGGGAACAGTGCTGGGGAATTGGGGGAAGGGGAACAGACAAGTTGCTGTCGTTTTGTTCTTCAGTCTAGTTGTGGAGGACGTTGCTTCACTGGCCCAAGTTGGCACCATCATTGCGCTCTTCCAGGGTGAGGCAGATCAGTTGCCGGCTTCTGGACGGCCGCTCACTGCGGCTGCTGGCCGCTCACGCTGGCTGCTGGCTGCTCACGCTGGCTGCTGGCTACAGACAGTAGCCCATGGCAATCCACTGCCACAGGGGCTGCAGCCCACGCCGTCGCCGGCGACCCACGGCAGCCCAGCTCCAGGTTGAGCTGTTGTTCAGCATCTTAGCTGTAGAGGGCAGTGTCACTGGCCCTCATATGTGGGATCCGAACCGGGGCCCTCTGGAATCCCAAGCGAGCTCTTAACCATCGCGCCACTCGGCCGGCCCTGGGCAGCCTTTTTATGAGTCTGAGGCTAAACAGACCTGACTTCCCCATAATCGTGAGTTCTTCTCAGATCATATATAAATTGTTGGCTATTTTAAATAGCATAGGTAAAGTAGAACATTTGGGAAGCTTCTGAAATGCTCAATCATTACCTTCAAGATCTGGCTCAATATTTTCTGTTTATAGAAGGCTTACGGGGATGACCCTTTCTTTGCTCAATCTGTAGTAGTCACTAAAAGATAACTTTCCTGTCAATGCCCTGTACTTGTGTGTATTTCATCATAGAATAGTGGTTAAATGTATGGGCTTTATGGATAGATGGCTGTGTGATTATGGATAAGTTACTTAACCTCTCTGTGCCTCAGTTTCACCATTTATAAAATAGGAATAAAATTGTCAACTATTATCATGGGATATTTTTAAGGATTAAAGGTGCTAATCCTTGTTAGACAAGCACAGTGCTGAGTATATAGGAAATGCTTATTATTATTGCTATTGTTATATGTTATTATTATGATTAGCTTAGCTATGTATGTTCTTTGTATTTCCAACTAAATGGTAAAACTCAAAGTCAGGCATTTATATCATTTTCAAATTAAACCAAATTAATACAAAATGTTTAGAGCAAGTCACTTAAATTTACAGAGCATATTCTTTTCATATCTTTAAGGTATTTATAATTGGTCTTCAAACAATAACTACGGACATGTGATTGGGTCTTTGATGGGTTTTATTTTTTCTTTCATTAAATCTATATTCAATGTTTTACAAATAGAGTTATCAACAAACATTAACTAAATACATGTAAATTATTTCCATGAGGCACAAGTTTGATTTAAAATATAACAAAATATGTAGTTAAATATGCAGAATATAAAAGCAGTGTTTACAAAATTTACCTTTTTAACATCATTAAAAAGAAGTCTGTACACTCAGGACAACTATCTCTTCCAAATTCCTAGGAAAGTGTTAAGTTTTCTGAAAGTACTTAATGCTATTTGGACTAAGTGTACATTTCAAAACACTCACATTATGAGTTAATGCATTTGCAAAGGACTTCTGAGTGAGGTTACATATTGCTTATGTTGCAAATGAAAAACGCAAAGGAGCGAGGAGTTAGGGCCTATTGAGTACCAATGAAATCCTTAATGGTTTTCAGGGCTTTTTTCCCCCTCTTAATAGAATATCAACCCAGTTAGTGCCATCCCAATCAAACAATCTGAAAATGTTTCATGTTAAGGCTCAGAATTATAGAATCACTTTATTGGGGACTGGAGTAAAACATGAAAGATAATCAAATCCAACCCCCTCATTTTATAAATGAGAAAACTAAGGCCTGTAGCACTTATTTCAATTAAGATGGCTTTCAAACAACATGCATGCCCTTCGTTTGAGTTATTCACTCTAGTTTTATCATTTATTTTCATGCTGCTCAATTGACCACAATTCAAAATACGAGTGTGCTCACCATTCCACATGTTTGGGTATGTTCCTTTCTGTATGTGTTTCTCCGATGGAATTTTCCTTTGTGGTATCAAAGCCAGCTCCTTTGAGTATTTTTAAAGATAAAACCATCATGCAACATCTAGGACCAGAAAGAAATCTTTATGGCATATATTTCACAGATATTTTCTTTTTGGATTTTTTTTTTCCCCTCTAAGAGAAAAGATGTTGTTAATATTTCACATAAAATATACTGTTAGTTAGTAAATGTCAAGAAATGCTAGATTATTTGCTGTGTGGGCCCATTCAAATATGTCTCTAAAGAGCTAGTAATTCTTTTATTTTCCAATTAAACGTAAATACAATTTTGAAATGCAGTGTTTAAAAATTTGATGCATTCACATGCCATGCAGAAACATTTTTCAATAAATGTGGTATTTAAGGAAGTCCCAGCCTATTTTGTTAAGGTAGGTATTTGGAGATAATTGTGACTAGCCACTTTAACCTACAGAAACAGGATTGGTAATAAAACCCAAAACCATACCTTAATCACTTTGGAGTTCTAATTGTCCTTTGCATCTACCCATATAAAGCTGTGTTCAAGTTATTTCCAAACGATATATTTTTAATTGTTTTTGTTTTATTGCAGCCTCTGATCTTAGATGTACTGGACAAGAGAATTTGGGGAGCTTGTGTTGTTGGTAGGTGGTAGGTATGAAGTTAAGTTGTGCTGTAGCAACCGGAAGTACCCACTAATAATATTTTTACAAGGCCCTTTTACCAAGTCTCATGTTGATGTTACCAGTGACGTCGGTTTATTAGCTTGCGGTTAATTAACAAAAACAATATTGAAATAAAAAGGAAAAGTCAGACTAGAAGAGCAGAAGGCGACTCTCCCCACCCTACTCCCAGCCCTCCCTCCTTTGAGAGCTCGAGCTCTCTTGGAGTAGCAGGTTCCTGCATGTGCCAGGAATCCAGTCTCGGAGCAGCGAGTCGCACTGCAACGCCAGGGCGTTCCCAGCGGGGGGACTGCTGGCTGCTAGGAACCTGCAGGCACCTGGTGTGGTCCTTGAGGGCCCTAGAGACTCCTGCCTCGGACGGGTCGGCTCTAAGCTTGTAGGCAGAAGGCTCCGGCCGGTCAGAAGGGTTTCCTGTGTGTCAGCAACTTCACTTTGCAGAGATAGCTGGCGGAAGAGCGAAGGAGCGCTGGCGGGCCAATCGCTCCCCAGCAGCCAGCCCTGACAGGGCGCGCCCCTCGTCCTCGCCGCCGACTCCGGTAGCAGCAGAAGGGCTGAACCTGAGCGCGCCGGACCCACGGCGGACCCCGACTCCGCGGCGGACACCGACTCCCCAGCGGACACCTCCGGCTCCGGACTAACGCCCTGGAGAGCGCCCGGGGAGCCGGGCGGGCTCGGGGGAGGCACGCCCCTCGCCTCCCGCGGAGCCCAAGCTCCGCCCACCATCGCGGGGAGCCGGCCTCTCCAGCCTGCCGCCCGCACTCGGGACCGTGCGGGACCTCGAAAAGGGTCCCGGAGCAGTTCTGACGGCGGACGAGGCTCAGCCCAGAAGCGCACGGGTCCGCGGCCACGCGCTCGGATGGCACCCAGAGGCTGAGCGCAGGGGGGCGCGGAGGCACCGGCGCGGGCTCCAGAAACAAACTGCTTGCTTGCGAGGTAGGGAGAAGGACGATGCCCACACGAAGTTGATCTCTGGGGAACGGAGGCTGGGGCGCGCCCTCCCCACGACGCAGCGCGGCACGGCGAGTTTGGCGGGACCCGCGCGGCCCCTCGGGAGAGCGCCGTTGGAAAGTTGTCGGCGGCGGCGCCCCGCGCGTCCTGTTGTGTAACCTCGGCGCTGCCAGCCGCACCGGGAAGTTGCTGGCGAGTCCGCCGGCCCGGTTCGGTCCCGGCCCCGGCCCCCGGGCGGATTTCATGGCCCGCGGCGAACGCGGGGCGGGAGCCGGCGTGGGCGAGCCCCCGCGCGCCCCCTCCCTCGGGGATCCCCGGCGCCCGCTCCCTTCCGTTCGCGCGCCTTTCCGATGCTGGCTGCGCCCCTCGCCGCCGCCGCCGCAGCCCTTTCGCCGCCGCTTGTCCCTCGGAGCCGCCGCCGCCTAAGTCCGGGAGGAGAGAATGACCGAGGTGCTGTGGTCTGCTGTCCCCAACGGGACGGACGCCGCCTTGCTGGCCGGCCCGGGATCTCCCTGGGGGAACAGCACGGCGGCCTCGACCGCCGCCGTCGTCGCCTCGTTCAAATGTTCGCTGACCAAGACGGGCTTCCAGTTCTACTACCTGCCGGTCGTCTACATCGTGGTGTTCATCGTCGGCTTCCTGGGCAACAGCGTGGCCATCTGGATGTTCGTCTTCCACATGAAGCCGTGGAGCGGCATCTCCGTGTACATGTTCAACTTGGCCCTGGCCGACTTCTTGTACGTGCTGACCCTGCCCGCGCTCATCTTCTACTACTTCAATAAGACAGACTGGATCTTCGGGGACGGCATGTGCAAGCTGCAGAGGTTCATCTTCCACGTGAACCTGTACGGCAGCATCCTGTTCCTGACGTGCATCAGCGCGCACCGCTACAGCGGCGTGGTGTACCCGCTCAAGTCCCTGGGCAGGCTCAAGAAGAAGAACGCCGTCTACATCAGCGTGCTCGTGTGGCTCATCGTGGCGGGGGCCATCTCGCCCATCTTCTTCTACTCGGGCACCGGCGTCCGGAAAAATAACACCACCACCTGCTACGACACCAGCTCCGACGAGTACCTGCGAAGTTATTTCATCTACAGCATGTGCACGACCGTGACCATGTTCTGCGTCCCCTTGGTGCTGATCCTGGGCTGTTACGGATTAATTGTGAGAGCTTTGATTTACAACGACCTGGACAACTCGCCTCTGAGGAGGAAATCCATTTACCTGGTGATTATTGTACTGACGGTTTTTGCTGTGTCTTACATCCCTTTCCATGTAATGAAAACAATGAATCTGAGGGCCCGGCTGGATTTTCAGACCCCAGAAATGTGTGCTTTCAATGACAGGGTTTATGCCACTTATCAGGTGACAAGAGGTCTAGCAAGTCTCAACAGTTGTGTGGACCCCATTCTCTATTTCTTGGCAGGAGACACGTTCAGAAGGAGGCTGTCTCGAGCCACCAGAAAAGCTTCCAGAAGAAGTGAGGCAAATTTGCAATCCAAGAGTGAAGACATGACCCTCAATATTTTATCCGAGTTCAAGCAAAATGGAGACACAAGCTTGTGAAGACACAAGAATTCCCCAAACACCCACTTTTGTAACATGGTAGGATGCTTAATAGAGCCAAGTGCTTCCTTTTTTTCCCCCTTTAAGTTTCTAAAAGTTTAGAGAAACATCAAACCAAGAAATTAGTGAGTTTTAAAAAAACAAAAACAAACAAGAACTGGAAATGCCCACACCCGCACCTAGCTTGTTTGGGTTTGGGTTTGCTTTCAAGGCCTCCCTCCCTCCCTTCTTTCTAATCTGAAGTATGTATAATAAAATAATACTATCCCAGTTAAACATTTACTTTCTTTTCTGCCTTTAAAATTTACAAGCTCTTCTGTTTAAAGTGCACTTGAGTACCGGAGCTGTTTTGAGGTTAATAATTTCTTCAAGAAAACTGACCACCTGAAACTTGAGTTTGCCATTCATCTAGCTTTTAATGTTTTTAATGATACATGATAGGAACAAATTGAAACTCCACATTCTCAAAGTTAGCATAGGATGTAGCAAAATTCTAATCTCGATTCATTCAGTATGAACAGATCTCAGCCGGGTGTCATTTTTGGTCCTGTCACCATAGGTGGTAACTAACTGAGTTTCTTGGAGACTTTGATAGAAAAGTAAAGCCAATGAATTTAAAAGCCTATAAAGTGATCATTTTCCAGTTATTTCTAGAAAACTGCTCAGTATATGTTGGGTCCTAAATGTTTGGCGATGGAAACCTGCATGTATTATCTTGTAGGTAAAATGCATTCAAAATAATCAAAGTGTATGTACTTTCCTTGTAAACACTGTGAACTCTGTTAGACTTCCTGTGATAAAGGGTATTTACTTGCATCACTGCTGTGCAATGCCTTAGGAGTTTGTGTTCCAGTACAAATGCTTACTCGCATCTGTAAAAACAATTTTAAAAATCACAGATAAATTACAGATGAAAGTTGAATAACTGAGCAAGTTGAGGGCTTGTAGGGCAGGACGATGGTATTATACTATCGGAGGGAGAGGGGTTGGCAGTCATTCACAATGCATAGCCTTCAAGCACATTCCCAAATGTACGAGCAAGTAGGGAGAAGACATCTTTAGAATAAGGACATTAGTTTAAATTAAAATTGTGGTGTAAAGGTTCTTCTTTGCTTCTTTGAAACGTTGGGGAACATTAAATGCAACATGAAAAGAAGGCAGAATGTGTTCAGGTTGTGTTGATAGAATGAGAAGTTATAATCCTTTACTAGATCCTATTTCCTCATAGTTAAAAGGGGAAAAAAAACCTTTAAAATATATGAGAAAAGGACATAAGGAGAATTAAATTTAAGTACCTAAGGTACCATAGCAGTGAAAAGTAAGTTGCAGAAACTACTAATAGTTTAAGAGAAGATCACTGGTCAGTGTTTTCTTTTATGTTTTTTTTTTCTGCGAGGCAGTAATGAGAAACCTGTAAAATACTTCAGTAATTTTAATAATAATTTTCAATGAATATTGATTCGCTGCATTTCTTGCCCTTAAAATCTTAAAATTCTACATAATATAGAATAATGAGGTGAGATAGCACAATTTATAACTCCAAACAAATAAATCCCCTGTCAAAGAAGTGTTTGATTGTGAGAACTAGCCTTAATAGAACTAGCCAACATCAGAGTCTGCAGCTGATGGCGGAGTAACTTGTTTGAAAGCACTTTATAAGTAAAATAATTTGGGGCCATGTCTTAAAGCTAGAAACAGCACCCGGTGGGACATAGTGACAGGTAAATCAGGGCTTGATTTCAGTTTGTGCAGTGCTTGGGTGGACTGCAGATTTATGAGACCTTCAGTTTCATCTTAGAGTTACTTCAGTTTATCCAGTCTCAGGCCACTAAGACCAATGAAGAAATGCTGTGTTTAGCTTCCTAAAAAGTTATTCTTTTTTGACATGTTCAGCGTTAACACACAGAATTATAGAAGAAACCTTTTAGATGAGATGTCCTACCTACACGTCCTCATTTTGAGGAAACTGAAGGTTAGCTAGGTTCTTACTTGGTTAGGGTCCTACAGCATTTTCTGTTGTGGACGTCTTGAAGAAAATGTCTAAAATATGTCATTACTATATTGTCCCTATCAAACAGAATGACAGCGAGACAGGATTCATATCACTAAATTGACCAAAGTGGAAATTTCAAAGCCTGTACCATCCTTGAACTCAAAGGCTAACGGTACACATTTCTATAGTATTTCCTCACCATTTACTTTAGTTTTCTTCCTTTTAGGTCTCAGGACACCCAGCCTAGTTTACAGTATGTGTTAAGTACATTGTTTCAGCTTCCAGAGAACTTTCTTACAGAGTGCGGATCTAATGAGAGATAGACAGTAACTAGAAATTCCCTTTTACTTCTTGGCATGTTTTTTTTTTTTCCAGAGTGTTTCTTCTTTAGCTCTATACATCACATCGTAGACAATAATGACATGTAAATGCATGTCAAATGGTAACAAGAATGATCTCACCAACTCCTTCCAGGCAAAAAGAGGTCTCTGGGAAGAGTCTGTGCTAATGGTGAAAACGTACAGAGGATCAAGAAGAAGCAGTGATGTATTGGCTGAAAATCTGATTTGTGACATATGATATGAGTCAGTATTTTAATAGGAAAGGCAAAAATCTGTTTGCATTTTGATGAAAGAACTAAAATTATAGAACTTGTCAGTTAACTAAAATTTCACAATGCAACACTATTTAAATGCCAAGTTCAAGGTATTTTATGGCACACAAAATACATCTCTGACTCTTTGAACATCAACATGTTTGCATTGAAATGATAAAAAGACAAACCAAGAAGCGATATAGCGTGAGTGTGTAGCTTCAGAGTTAAAACCATGACATTGCCACTCAGCGAGCTATGGAACTTTTGACCATTTCAGGACCATTATTAGTGGGTTAAAAAGGTTGGATGGCATCTGTCTGTTGGGGCTTTGAGGCATGTGGAAACATTTAAACTATAGACAGCCAGAGGTGTATTATATTTGTTACCAGGACTCTTCAATTCCTTGGCTCAAAATTCTTACAAAGTTCACCAGTTGTGATGTGGACCTATGACCTGTAAGTTTTCTCAATCTACTTGTGTAGTACACCAAACAGCATTTGGATACAAGAGATATCAATGCTTACAGCAGCTGGAATTGGACTAGTGACAATAAAGATGTGTAACTAGTTAGAGATCTATTGAAGCTTTAACTTTGCTGGTCAAATTGTAGCTATCATAATAGTATTTATTAATGAAGCTTACAGTTCTTTAGTTGTACAGGTTGAAAGACTTTCTTGAAAGACCCAACATACCGATGTAAATTATATTTATTACAATGTATAATATGAATGTAACACTGGTGTATTTTACATAATATATGATACATAGATAAAATGAGTTATTGTATATTATGATGCTTTTCAAATATCAGTATCCTGAAATGTGTAAGTCTTCAGATTTTTTTCTTATCTAAAATATGAAAATCTGTTTTGTGATACAAGTGATTAATTTTCTCTAGAAATGCTTTTGCATGTTTACCTTTTTTGTGTAGTGTTCTTTCTATACAGACACAATTTGGTGTCAAACTATCATAAGATCAATAGTAAATACAAAGCATCTTTAGCCAGACTGGATCTGTATTGTATACATTTTATATAGTATTATAGAAAAGTTTATATTGTCCTTTCAGAGCATTTAGAACCATGCCCTCAAATATGATCAGAGCTTCTATTTCTCAATGCAAAATGCTTGTCCTGAATTCACAGTAGATCTCTTAGGTTTTAGAAGTCTGGTGGGATGTGCATTATTGATACAGCATTAGAATTTAAGGAGAAACTTTAAGGAGATGGGGAAAGAGGCAGCTGGTGTAATCAGTTACAATGTTCAGAATCAGCTTAAATTTTTGTGTTGTGTTTCTTCTTAAGGTGAAATAGTATAATCTTAAGTTGTTAGAGATGGAGTTTCTAAGTAACACTACCAGCAAGTTTAACACTGCTATGAATTTTAATCTGTTTTATTTGTTCAGTGGATAATTTTAATTCCAAGTTTTATAGTGATAACTGTATTATATTTGGCTGCTGAATTCTGTTACAATTTTTATTCTGTTGTACATTGTATTATACACATCATTACAAATTAATATGAAGGGGAATATATGTGACATATCAAAATTTGTGAATTTAAATTCTGGTATGTTTTAGTGCTTTTGCAAAAATGTTTATTTTTATATTATCTGTGATTTTAATATAGATAATTGAACTAGGTTTCTTTGTGATTAATAGTGCCATTGAATGAGCGATATGGAAACAGTGTTACTTGACATTTTGAGCTTTCTCAGGTTTATCTAAATCAATGGTAGCTTAACAAATTCCAGACTAATTGTGCGCAGTTGTGTTTTTAATAAAAGGAATGTACATTTCCTATACGTTTGCATGCAGGAATGTACAATATCATGTGTGTGTGTGTGTCTAAGGCATGACAGCCAACTTTGCATCTGCTATTGATAATAACAGCAGAGCCTTGCTATAACCGTGGTCACTAGAATTGTACCTACCATAAACAATTAAAACTGAAAAAGTCTCAATAAAACTATGAAATGTGGTCTGATGCTTCTATGTTATTACAGTGTTAATAATCACAGGTTGGTTTTCTTAAATTTTGACATGTACTATTATACCACCTGGCAAATGCCATAGGATGTATAGAATCATGCCGTCATTTCTTAAGGTGTAGCTGGATTGTTAAAAGTGAAGAGTTAAAGAACAAATCCTGGTGTAAGATAATTGATAATATTATCGTTATTTGATATCATTAATAGGTATGTGACCTACTTCTTTAAAGAAAATACGAAATGCAACCTTAGTACATATTTCCCATGCTAGTGTTCTGTGTTTAAAACCTTAGCTGTAATGTTTTCTCTTAATTTGTAATCCATGCAGGTAATCATACTAAAAACCCTTTGTGGTTTCTGTTTATCTATTAGCCTACATTGCCGGTTTCTCTCAAGTTTATTAAAAAGTACATATCTGGTTCTGTGTGGTGAAAAAGTGTATAATGGAATGAAACCATGCTTAAAGCATCACTGTTTTTTCCTCAGCGTTAGAAGTGCACAATGGTCCTGCATTGGGTTTTCTGTTTGTCTGCTGAGACAGGTGCCCTGTCACAGAAACCTGTGGGAAAAAAAGTGCAAATCTCTTGCAGCCCTTAAAATATGTCTCACTCCATTTTAACTCCTTAACTAGCTATACCGTCCAGACTTCTCTGCTTGGGAATTGTCACTTATTAACATCAGCTTTGGTAAAGTTTTGTGGGTGTGTATGTATGTGTGTGTTTGTGTATGTTTATTTAGTGCATGTGTAGAAATTACACAGATAATTGTCGTTCTGATTTAAGAAGAATTTACTGTAAAGCTTTGAGAAACTTCTTTATTTTCAAACTCATTTTGGGATTGGAGCCAGTGAAACTTCTCTCTCCATCAGTAAATATACTGCTTTTAAATTCTCTTTTACTTTAGTGGGCTGGAAAGTTTAGATTCTTTTTTTCAGGAGGTTTAGAACATGGCCCCCAAATATGATCAGAGTTTCCATTTCTGAATGCAAAAAGCTTGTCCTAAATTCAAAGTTGATGTATTATGGTTTAGAAGTCTGATGGGATGAGGCATTAAAGACAAAACAGATGTCACTAGAAATCCATGTCAATGCTGTGCTTACTTGCTTTAACCTTCCAAGGTTATACCGCTATAGGGTCTACCCTATAGACCCTGGGGACTGACATTCCCAGGCACCATGGCTGCTGGGACCTGTGGTGTAGATGGACCGAGTCCCCTAGGCTGAGCCGCTGACAGTGCCACATGCAGTACCCTGGAAACAGACATGGATAAGGGGTCAGGGTGGTGCAAGGCACGGGAGAAGTCAGTACTGCACAGAGGAAAAAACATGCTGCCTTTTCTGATTACCTGATGAGGAGAAATTGCCTGCATGAAGGTTGAAAATCCTTGATGATAGATTTAAGCAGAAAGAGGCCTTGGCAATGACCCTGTCCCATCACCTCGGTGTGCTGGTGAAAGCCACGTTCTCACACTCACAGGTGGAGCTAGCTACATACTCAGGGCTCTCATCCTGGGAAAACATTCCTCTCACATCCCAGGGCTCTTCACATTGTGGTTCTTGACCCATTGGTGGGTCAGGAAATCAGTACAGTGGGTTATGACCAGCACTTATAATGAAACAAATAGAATAGAATAGAATAGATCAGAGTCCGTAACTCAGTGAGTAAGCATTGTGATTTTAATTTCAGACATGCACACACACACACACACACACACACACACACACACAACACAACACGTGTATTTATTTACATGTAACTTGGGCCACAGTAGACTTCTGATTTCTTATTGAGGACCTGGTCAAAACAGTTCCAAAACCACTACTCAGTAAAAGGTGTCATGGTGTTATAGGAATAGGGGTGAGAAATTGTTTCCTAAAACTATTTTTAAATAAACACAAACACAATCAGTTGTTAATTTTGTTATGTGTCCTCTTTTTTTTTAATTTTTTTTCTTTTGAAGACTATATTTGAAATTCCCAGAGACATTATTAAAGCAATATTTAGCCTATATCTAAGGATGACTATTTGCAGTTAAAGATAGAATAAACGAAACTCAGATTTATGTAAACTTTTACAGCATAACTCTTCATACTGTTCTCTCTACTATGAACAGTTAACAGCAAAACAGCAAACAAATGTCCACCATGTTTAAGAGCATCGGCTTTGCAGTCAACATGCCTTAGGTTTGGAACCCATCTCTGCCACTTGCTACTTGGGTACCTTGGCAAATTACTGAAACCCTTATGGCTGTGTGTTCCTCAACTATAAAATGGGCATAATAATTTTCAGCACATAGGATCTGGGGGAATTAAATCAAATAAAATGAAAAGCATCTATCACATAATACATAACAAATATATTTCTAGATACATCCTTCTTAAGGCTTCTAAGGATTTTGCTACTTCATGGGCTGCTTTGTTGTAGTTTCTGTTTCTAGTATTAATATTTCTATGGTTTTTCATGTCATAGAAGCTTTGGGGTCTCCTAGAAGTTCACATTGTGGGGTTTGGAGCGGGTCTCCTAAAAGTTCTTGTTAGATTGAATGCATTTAATATTGTTCTTTTGGACACTCCATTGACTATCGGAGGTCAGATAATAAGCAAGTATTCAACTTTTTGATGCTTTTCATTGTGGTATACACTGTGTGGGACAAAGACATGTCAGGCGAAGTGTGTGTGACTAAAAATATATCAACAAGAAGAGCCTGCTGACCTCCTTAGCTGGACCTCTCCTCTCAGGTTCATGGTCTATTTTCAATCACCACCATCCAGAGTCTGGTCTTCAGTTTAACAGGTCCAGAAACTCGATCCCTCAACAGTTCACCTAGAGTTCACCAATGCAGGGGCACTGACTCACACCAGGCAGACTAAGAGATTCATTTACCAACTAAAATGCCACCGTATGAGTATACAACAACTACATCCCAGGCACAATAACAGACATCTGCCTTTCTGATCTAATTATGTATCAGAAGGTTGCCTGCAGGTTTTAAAATAAAGATAAAGAGAGGTGGTGCTCTCAAAAGGCATTTTCTGTAAGGCAGAGGAGCTGAAAGAATTGCCAATACCTGGAGATATTGGTCAGGATAAGCAGCATCTATCCTGTACTTGAAAGAATTCTGCCTGCCTGGGACAGCTTAGCAGCACAGAGACTGAAATTCTCACATTTGCTTATTTTCTTCTAAAGTCAGTCCCACCATTATTACTTCTTTGCTTACAAATAAAGTTTTAATAATGTCTCCCAATGGTGGGTGTGGCGGGAGGGTGCTGGTGGAGAAGGCTACAATGCTTGCTAAGTTGGAGATACTTAAAGGACATCCAGTTAGAAAAGGTACAGTACGGCACTACAAATGCTATTCCAGAGCTCAGGACAGAGTTATAGCAAGAGACAGAGGCCTGGGAATTGTTCGTGTACAAATGATAGCTGGGGCAGGGGGTGAACTGTAGGCAACACCAACATTAGGATGGACAAGGAATACTGAGCAGGAAAAACCGGAGTCATAAGACTCTGGACCGCCTCCTGAAGAAATCAGTCTGAGAAGAGAGTTTTAGGGAAGAGGTAAACCTGTGTCACTTGTTTCAGAAAGGAACATAAAGTGTCTACTGGATTTAGAAATTAGAAAGTATTGGTGTTTCACTGAGATCACTTTTAGCCTCTTTTTTTTTTTTTTTTTTTTTTTAGCTGAGCCATCCTGCTACCTCTTGGTAGCTCAGCGGCTGCTCAGCTCGGGCTGGACTCGAACTGCTGTTGCTCAGAGCTCAAACTCTTGAGCGAGCTCTTAACCAACTGAGCCACTCGGCCGGCCCTTCATTGAGATCACTTTTAAACCATAAAATTAGTAATGACTACTGATCACAGAAGAACTGTCTTCGTGACAATCTTGAGGAAAATAGACTAGTAGTTTGAGGAAACGACAGAGATTAGAGAGAGCAAAAAGTTTAAAGAGAGATGTTTTTGGTAATGTCAGAGGAAAGCAGGCCCATGGGGAAATTGGAGTAGATGAATGACATCAACAGGGCAAAGAGGAAGCGACAGGTGAGGGAAGGAGCTGCTGTGGTTACTGAAGCTGAACAGAAGGCCATCAAAGTAGAGGAAAGCCATAAGGGTGAGTTTGGGATACTAGACAGGTCACCGAGTAAGCGGAAGACTGTCAGAGTAGTGGAGGACACTGATGCAAAGCCTGGTGATGAGAGCTCTGGGTAATGGGACAGCTAGCAAGGACTAGCTGGATGACTCTCAAGAGAGCGATTTACATGGCAGGAGGGGAATCATGTCAAAAGCAGTGGAGCGCTGGGAAAATGCCTATCCCTTTTCTGGTGTATTAGGGTAGCACGATAGAATAGCCTCTACTAGGAAAAAGGAAGGAGCAAAATATTTTACTGGGGTGTTGTTAGCAGCTTTTGGTAAGAGAAAGTTCAGGGTACAGAAGTTTCATTTGGAAAGAGTTGTATCTCCAGAACACATAGCTAAAAACAGGGTAAGAAGCATGGTCAGCAAAGGTAGAAGGGGAGGTAGTCCAAGCTTGCCTTTCATCTGGGGGAGAGGTGTGAAACAATGAGCAAAGATGGCAGATTGGAAAGAGGGTGGGCTTGGGTAGAAGAAAGGGAGAAAACAGATTCACTGTGGCTCAGGGGGTGAGAGAAATTAAAGTTACTTAGGCAGAATACAACCATACTTGGAAAAATAAGTGAAGAGGTTTGCGTTCATGTAGTAGGCAATAGAAAGCCATGAAAAGTTTGAAGTCTGGAAAATAACATTATGGAGAATCTAGCAAGGGGATAAAAAAGAGAGGTGCTAAGAAAGTGTTGCTGTCAGCAAGCTATTCAGAGAAGGGCGGCGGTGGGAAAGTTAGGAGGCCGAGCATGACATATTTCTCAGGAGGGAACGACCAGCTGTGCTGTCTGACACTGGGGAAGAGACAGAAAAGTCAGAGATGACTGAGGTTACATCTGGAGAATCCAGAACAAGGGTCATGATGTCAGATGCTGGGA